TGGGCCTCCGCGCGCCTTGCAAAGGCAACCAGCACCGTTTCCCTCCTCACCGTCAAATGCACCGCGTGCTCCCGGCCCCTGCGCCAGCCGCCCAGCCGCGCCCCGCCGGCCCTCTGCCATCACCCCCAGCCTCCCGGGCCTGGCTCCTCTTGTTCCTTGCCGGCTGCCGCCCACCGCTGGAGTCTTCCCAGTCACGAGGCTGATGCCGCAGCTTTCCACGGCTGGCCCAGACGCCTGTATCTCCCCCCTTCTGAGCGTGAGCTTCAAGGCAGGTAGGCTTCCCGCTGGGGCCTAGGCCCTGTGCCGCGGGAGGAGGCCGACAGTGCCTTTAGTCTGCCCGGCCTCCTCCCCACAGAGAGCCGAAGGGGAGGCGGCGAGCTCGTGTGTCACCAGGAGAGACAGGAAGAGCACACGGGACTCAATAACGACGACTGGGGCTGCAGCCCACGAGCGGTTGTGATAGTCCGGCTACACCGAGTGCCTGTAAGTCGGCGAAGAGCTCCTCACAGCTATTCTCTCGGGAAACAAGTCTCAGAAAGATGAAGGCCCAAAGAACCAAGAAGCACCAGGTGGAAAGACTTCCCCAAGCGGCTGTCTCAGCGTCAGCCCGCCAGCTCCGGTCACCCAGAGCCCAGTCCGGTGCCGGCTGCCGGCAGGTGTCTCCTCTCTTACTCAAAGCAGCTTTCTGCATGAGCCACTGTTAACCCCGGTAGATGCTGGTGCAACGCTTGGCAACGGAGTGGCCCTGAGCCCACAGCACCGACTCCTCAGTTCTCTGCCACGATCTGGCTCCACCTTCGATCCGCCTCGTCGTGGTCGCTCATTGGCAGCATTTCAGGCGGTGACTCTCCCTTGAACATGTTTGTTCTTCCTTCGGTGAACTCACGATGGCGGAGGGGACCCCCAGCCGACAAGGAGGCGCCCAGGAGGCGCCAGCGTGCCAGCGTGTGGGGCCTCCCCACCGAGGTGCCCCAGAGCAGAGGGGGGCTCGAGCCGCAGAACAAGATCTCCTCTCCCGGCCTCAGCACGGGGCCCAGCTTGGGGTGCAGGCCTGCGGGAAGGGGCGGGTGAGTCGGAGGCTCTGCCCCGCTCACGGGCCTGCACACCTGGCTGAGACGCGCCCTCCTGGCCCAATGTCGTGCCTTTCTCCCCCCCGCGTCTCAGGCTCGCTGCGTGTGTCGACTCCCGCTGGCTTCCAGAATTCTGTATTTCACTGGCTCTGCTCGCTCTGTGATCGTGCTGGACTCCAGGGGCGCGGGGCTCCCCCAGCCCCGGACAGAACGGCAGGAGTACTGGCAGCTCTTGCGCATGGAAATGCCGAGAACTGAGTATCTTCTGCTGGCCTGCTTCCCTCCCTGCTGTCCCGGTGACCCCGTTTCCTCCAGGCAGCGCCGTCTCTCCAGGTGCCACAGAGCCACGGGAGGCGTCTGGGGGAGCTCAGAGCTCAAGTTCCTGGGCGCCCCCCCATGCTGGAGAGACCCGCCCACAGGTGCTATCACACCAAACCCCTCCTCCACACCTTTGCCGCCTGCCTTCCTTTTACCAGGAAACCTTCATCTTTGGGGGACGCACTCACCTGGCTTTGCCCAGGTCCTCTGGACCAAGAAGAAAACTTCAATGGGAGAGTCATAATGGAACCGCCCGTCAGGAGCCCTGGCCTCCCCCTCCCAGCCACCCCACGAGCCTCACGGCCAGGCCCCACAGCCTGCCGAGCAGCTCACCCCGCAGGCCCACCCCGCCCTCCTGCTGGGGGGTGCCCCATGCTCCGGTCACAAAGCCCTTCTCCCCTCCCCGCCGGACTCGCCAAGCCCTGCTCTGCTGAGGAGGCCACGCCCACCGGAGAGTGGCCAGGACGCGGGAGGCCAGCAGAGGCCAGAGGTCAGCCCCGGCAGGTTGCTGCGTGACCTCACCAACTTCCTTTATCTATTCAGGCCCCCCAAACCAGCCTGCTGGGCACAGTGGGGCTTAGACTTTAACCTTAATAAACGTGCCCGGACAGGGTCGGCCCTGAGTGGCAGTGCAGGACACCTGGCGTGTCCCGAGTACAATGCCCTCTCCGGGCTCGCGCACCCTCACACGAGAGGCTCAGGGCACCTCCAGACGAGCAAAGATCATATGATCACTCGGGTTCAGCACTTTCTCCTGTCGGGGCCGGGCCGGGGTGAGCGCACGGCGGTGAGCAGGGGGCGGACCTGGGGCTGCGTCCACTCGGGCCCCCTGGGGAGCTGTGTGTGACACCGGGCGACCCACAGAGGGGACCCTCCCTCTGCTGCGACTGCGGACTTACCTGCCGGCAGCCTCCCCTGTCTGCGGCCGGGGCTCAGCAGCAGCGTCTCTGCCATCTCTGCGCGTCCCGTCTCCCTCCGCGCCTGTCAGTTCCAGGCAGGACACGGCCAGAGACTCTACAGGGATGTCACGGAGCCCAGGGGACAATACTGAGTCTGCTGTGAGTGTCCGGTCCTCCCAGGCCCTCACGGGCAGGATGGACGTCCGGCCTCAGGGCTGCATGAGGGGCGTCGTGCGTGGCCTGGCGGGTCTCCACTGCGGTCACCCCTGACCCTATCCAGACCTGTGGACGCTGCCTTCGGTGGGCAGACCGGGAGCGCACAGCCCCCAGCCAGAAGGCGGATCAGAGCCCTGCACCGTGGTCAGCAGCGTGAGAGCCCCCGGGGTGCCGGCGACACGCTCGCTGCTCCCTCGGCTCAGCCAGGCCCCGAGGGACGCGCACAGCCGGGGAGCGCCCCGGGCCCTCGCACGGAGGCTCCTCCGCCCCAGAACCCCCGCCACGGGCGCCACGGCCTCCGAGGCTCCAGGACGTGGGCCACGGGTGCCGTGCTCGCATTTTCTTCCATAAAACACCATCCACACAGCACTGAGTGACTCCGGGCTCACTCACAAGGTGAATCACCACGGGATCGTCCCGGTTCCCCCCGCTCCCCGGGACACCCAGTGACACCCGGGCCCCCTGCCTGCCCCACAGCGTCATGTGACTCCAGCCGTGCATGCGATTGCGGCGGCGGGCACCTCAGAGTCACGTGGCCAGGGTCCACCGCCCTCTGTGCTCGGTCCCCGTGGGCTTGCGTCTCTGTCTGTGCAGAACGGACGACACCTGCTCAGCTCGCTGTGCCAGTTGGACGCCGTCTGAGGGCAGTGTGCACTCCAGAGGGAGCGGGCACCGGCCGCGAGACCCGCCCCAGCCTCCACCGCCCGGAGAGCCGGGGACACGGCAGCCACCAGCGGTGACCCGGCCTCCCGGGGTCTGGGAACCCGCCAGGCTCCCTGCTGGAGGGGGGCTGAGGGGCCAGGGAGGAGTGGGGGGAGGTGCTGGCCCGTTTCTTCCCCACGGATCTGACGCTCACCCTGCTTTCACTGCTTCGTGGATTCTGGGTTCTGGCTGGGGAGATCAAGGTCAAGCGTGCGAATCAACTGAGGTGGAAAATATGCAAAATGAAGACAGATGTGAAAAAATATATATAATTTAAAAAACTAAAGAAAAAAATTCAAAGTACAAAGAAAAGAGAGTGCACATCAGGGAACGGGAAATTAAAAATAAAGAATTAAGTTCACAAAGAGAAAATGAAAACATGAAGGTGTAAAGGCCAGGGGCGGCCAGGCGGGTGCAGCCCTGAGCAGGAGGCGTCCAGGCTGGGCCAGGAGAATCGGCGAGGCGGAGGCCGGCGCGGGCCGCCCCCAGGGACCGCGGCGTTCGTCCCCAACCACCGCTGGGTCCACGGCGCGTCGTCCATGCAGAACAGCGCTCAGATTTTGCACCAGGCCTGCTGGACACAGCAGGTCACCTCAGGCCCCTCCGCTCTGGCCGGGGCCCTGTCCCCTGCGGGCCCTCGCGTGGCTGAGACGCGCCTCCCCGAGCAGGACCCCCAGCACCAGCAGCACGGCGGCGGCCAGGCCCAGGCGGACGACGTTCCCCTGAGTGTAGTCCCGGGGGCGCGCGGCTGGGCCTGGGGACGGAGAGGCCGGAGGTCAGCAGGCGGCCGGGGCGCCGGCCGGAGACGGGGTGACCCTCGCTGGGCCTGGCCTCCCGCAGCCTCCCCGGGGCGGACGCTCCTCGGCCCTGAGTCTCGTCGCCCGTCCTGCCCCTGGTTCCCCTGTGTGGACACTGCCGCGGGCTGGCCCTGAGCGCAGCCGCTCGGGCACTCGGAGGGACGGGACAGCTGCATTCTGCGGCCTCAGGGCAGGTCTGTGTGGGTGCTCCCCGGCCTCCGAGGGGCACAGTGAGGGTCCTGGGGCCGGCAGAGACCCCGATGGACAGAGGCCCCTGCGCAGCCTGGGCCCACGGGCCGCCTCAGGCTGCGGGAGGGGCAGGTCCCCGAGGCTGTCACGCTCTTCACCAGGGAGCAGAGCAGGGGCCCCTGGGTGAGGGGGCAGGGAGCAGAGGGCTGAGTGTGAGGTGCTTTGGGAAAGCACACTCCCCTGGGAAAGACCAGGGGACGGACGGCCAGGAGAATCCGCCTGCTGCAACTTCTCCTCCCTCCTCTTCCACCGCCCCAGTTTCCAGGAGAAGCCCTGGATAGTGGTTTTCTCCCAGCCCCACCCTGCCACAGCAAGTGTCCTGAGCCAAGGGCCACCAGCTGTCACGCAGGCCCGAGGACAACCTCAGAGCTGCTGCCGAACTGGGTGACCTATAACCAAAGCAACCCTAGAATTGTTCAGAGTATGTGCCCCTTTCTAAGAAGAAATTCAAATTTGTCTTTTAAAAGACTTTTCTTGACGAAACCCTGGTGAAGCATGACAATGAACTGTAATTGCTAAGTGAATGTAGATAAACTATATATTCTCTAAATATTTGCATTAAAAACTGGGCTGAGCCAACATCACACTAATACCAAAACCTAACAAAGAAAACACA